AAATCATGTATTTATTTTTTCATTTGTGTGTTAAAATTGTATCCACTTACACTGTTATCATATATAGTAGTTCTTGTTATTGGTGAAAAAATTAGTCATATTTTATTTTATAATAATCCTAATTCATACAAGGTGTTTGGAAGTGTTTTTTTTTATTCTGCCTGGGGTTTTGTGCATGTGAGTTTATTTATAATGTAGAGTTTTTACCTTCTGTCAATTTCCTCATTGTCATGTACAATATTTTAATTTCCATCACATAACCTTATCATAAAGTTGTTTATTTCTTTGGCTTGATGCTAATGGGTCCTATGTATACAGAACAAGTTTCATAAAAAGAAAGTCTCATCTACATTTTGTGAATTGGCATTTAAATGCTGCTTAAGAGATAGAGAGTGTAAACACAGCCTACCTTAATTAATTGGTGTTTAGATCATTAAAAGCGCTTTCCGCATCACAGTAAAATACGTGTCAGATCATTTAATGTAAATATTTCATGTTATAAGATCATTTTTCATATTTTATTAATTGTTTGGAATGTCATTAGACTTTTGCAATCACTGTTCAATTCAGGTTTTCAAAATAAGAAAAAAGTGCTGTTCTGATCCATTTTTATTTATATCAGAAATTTGAATTTGTTTGGTACTTTTTCATAAGTGTTCAGATAATTAGAAATCTCAGTGCTGTATGCTTGAAAATACAATGTACATATAGGGCATATGTAATGATTTAGAAATGCAGAGCCACACAAATATCTGGGGTTTTTTCATCTTTCCTGTAAAATGAATTCTAGTGCTCAATTTTGCTAGTGATAAAGGTAAGTTCATTGAGATCAACTTTAATACTTTTCTCTGTAAATTCACTATACTGTAGATTTTAAGTCAAATTATTATTTAAAGGAAAAGCAAATATGATGAAGCTGAGCAGTTGTATTGTATTGAAGAATAGATTATTCAATATTTCCAAATCTGACTTTGAAAATGTTTGTTTGATGTGATTTAAGTTGGGCCCCGACTTTGTGTCTGGAAAGGTCTTTGAAAACAGCTGAGGTTTACTGCATGTTCCTCATGACCTCCATTCCTGTGTAGGCAGCTAATATATAAAAAAAAACTTATTATAATTGATTAAATACCATTAATCAATTATCTTAATTGACTTCGTCAGATTTATTAAACACAGTTCATTTGATGAATTGGATTTTTAAAATTGATTGAATACAATTAATTGAATGAATTGTTTTTTGAGAATGTTGAAATATGGTTTGATTTGTTTCGATCATTTCATTTCATCTCCATTTTTATTGTAATTTGATTATATAGGTAGGATTGGATGTTGGCTAGTAGATTGGGTGTGGGTTTTCTTAGTTTCACCTTTATTTTACCAAAAGGATTCAGAGAGGAAGGAATCGTATGGATCTCAGTAAAAAATAAGGCAACATCTCTTTGAGGGGAAAAATTCATGCTTTTCTGTTAACTTTTTCATTTTTGTTGAAGAAGTTATATTCTGAAGATAATTTGAGATCATTGAGGATCACACATGTTAATGTAGATATGAAGTATATATAAACAGTTTATCATTAAGTCAAATCTTTCTCATGTAGTAAAATGCCTATAACCATCCTCATGTTTTTGACAACAATGTTTGAGTGCGAGATGGTTAGATTTAAGAATGATCAGTCACATAAAGACAACATCTGGATAACCCTGTGACCAAATCAGTGTCGGCTGGATTAACACTGCTTGATTATCTATTGATCAGATCAGAGTCAGCTGGATAAAATAGCTTGATTATCCATCGACCAGATTAGTGGTGGCTGGATAAAATAGCTTGATTATCCATCGACCAGATTAGTGGTGGCTGAATTGACAATGCTGTATTATCCATTGACCAGATTAGTGGTGGCTGGATTGACATGGCTTAATTATTCATTGTTTACCAATGCTGTATTATCCATCAACCAGATTAATGGGGCTTGATAAATGTAGTTTGATTATTCATCGACCAGATTAGTTTTGGCTGGATAAATGTAGCTTGATTATCCATCGACCAGATTAGTGGTGTCTGGATTGACAATGCTGTATTATCCATTGACCAGATTAGTGGTGGCTGGATAAATGTAGCTTGATTATTCATCGACCAGATTAATGGGGCTGGATAAATGTAGCTAGATTATTCATCGACCAGATTAATGGGGCTGGATAAATGTAGCTTGATTATTCATCGACCAGATTAATGGGGCTGAATAAATGAAGCTTGATTATTCATCAACCAGATTAATGGGGCTGGATAAATGTAGCTTGATTATTCATCGACCAGATTAGTGGTGGCTGGATAAATGTAGCTTGACTATTCATCGACCAGATTAGTGGTGGCTGGATAAACAATGTAGTATTATTCATCGACCAGATTAGTGGTGGCTGGATAAATGTAGCTTGATTATTCATCGACCAGATTAGTGGTGGCTGGATAAATGTAGCTTGATTATTCATCGACCAGATTAATGGGGCTGGATAAATGTAGCTTGATTATTCATCGACCAGATTAATGGGGCTGGATAAATGTAGCTTGATTATTCATCGACCAAATTAATGGGGCTGGATAAATGTAGCTTGACTATTCATCGACCAGATTAGTGGTGGCTGCATTAACAGAGCTTGATAGCAGTTAAACAACAGATAGAAATATTAAAATCTGTGAATACAGCCAGGAGGTTGTCATTTGGAAAAAACATTATTATGGGGTTTTTTTTGTGATTTTCTTTGAATCAGATCAAGTCCTCCAGAGATAGAAAATTAATTTACACATAATTTGATATCGTACAAGAGGATTAAATTGAACCAGAGAATTTACCATGAGATCAACAAAATGTAAATTTTGGCTCTCTTTGATGAAAGAAACTTTCAAATATTTGTTTTAAAAATCTTCATGTTATAGACAGAATTTTGAGGTAAAATTATTCTAGTCAAACATTGACTGTGTTAGTAAAAAAGTACAAAAAACAATTCAGTTTTTAAACTCCAGATGTAATTTAATATTGATTGTTGGTTTTCTATATTTTAATATTATAAAAAGATTTTTTATTATGTTGTATTAAAATCCTATCTAGATAAGATGTGTCACTATTTCTTCATATACATGTGTACATAGTGTTTCATTGAATTAACCCAGTTTCCATAGATTTGATACTTCCTATATTGTTTTATATTATGTTGATTTGAAAACGGAAAGTTAACCCCAATGCTCATAGTATTACCCTGTTATTTACCTGTATAAAACCAATTATGTACAGTTCTGGAGAAAGCTCTCCTCGTTAACTTTTTCTATGGGAGAATTTGTTCATGTCAAGTGTACATGTGTACGTTATTCCACTGAAATGAGATGTACATTTATTGATAAAGCTGTTTTGAGTGAGTTGAATGCAACATATACAAAACCATTTTATGTATACTATTAAAGTTACATATAGTGATCAGTGTTGTGTTGAGTTTATTTGTACCGTTTGGATCAGTTCAACTGTCCCAAATTGATGGAACTTGTATCATTAGGAAATTACTGCTCTTTTCGACTTTATGCCTTTAGTCATTTTGTTTCCTCTCACATTAAGCATCATAGTGTAAACCTTTTACATGTTAATGTTTTTCACAAGTTCCACCGATTGGGATTCAGGATTCAGCTGATCCTTAGATGGTCTAGACCAAGTGTTGTTATTTCTTTCTTTTCTTTGTTCAATTTCACTTTGAAATGCTTGATTTCAAACCAATCCACACATCTCTCATCCCTTTCTTATTAGGTATATATAAGAGAGATGTTTATAATATTAAGGTAAGGCTCACCTAGCCCTAGTGGTCAAGTGAAATTTATAATGCAGTTTCCAACTGTCCTTCATCTGTCCTCTTTTCCTTAAATAACTTCTGAAGAATGATCTGATGTGAAGTAATGACATTTGGTCAGTAGGTTTTTGGTTTAAAGCTCATTAAAATTAGATAAAAGAAATGTTAACCTATATTCAAGGTCACAGGTTAGCATGGCTTCCTGATAAAGCCCTGCAAAAACCAAATGACTTTGACCCAATTCAGTGCCACATGGATCAAATTTGTAATAACACTGATTAACCAGAAGTCAAATTTAAACAATACTTTGGTCAGAAACTCCTGTTAAGAGAAGCCCCAAAAAGAAATAACTTCAATTATGTTTCACGTTCTTAGGGATCAAGTTTGTTCCATCGTTTATTCTTTTACTTATTATCTCTGTTATTACTGTAATGTGTTCAGATGAATGACATTGACCCGCTTTCAAGGTCACATAATCAAATGTGTTAAAATCTAACAATTTCTCATTAAGGAAATGGATCTGGGTTATAAGATTTTTTCAAGTAGCATTCTGGAATTAATTACCTTGACCCACTTTCAAGATTACAAGGGTCAAACATACAACTGTCATGGTTATGCTTCACAGCCGCCCTTTTGTTAACTACAGAGTGGATGAACGATAATGGCACGTTGGTCCACAAGTCGTTTATAAAAAAACGTTTAACTTAAAGTAAAAACAATGGTTTACACTCCCTTTGAAGGTGACGTGACATTTAAATCACCGTACTTGTGAAAAGTATTGGAACACCAAGCGCGCAATGCAGGCCTATTTGTCCTCCTGTTTTGTTAACTTTTCAGCGTAAAGATATTTTGGACATAATTTCTCAATAAAAGAGTTAAATTTTAAAAGAAACCCTTAAATAATTTATTTCATTATGGCACCCTTGATAAATGATTTAGTATATAAATATATATATATGTAATTTTATTGTCAATTTTTATGTGACAAAAATGTATATGTTATCGGAAATGGAACTGGCGACCTTTACGAACACTGATTACACTTGTCACAATCGACATTTCCATTACGCAGACGAAAGCTCGGGTGAATATTCCTTTCACAAAATGCTATCAAAAAGAACTCTAATCCTAAAACTATGCTTACTTCAAAACATAAATAAGTCGTTCATTTCTTTATGTTCTGGCACTGTCCGCCCTATAACTGTCTACGTGATGATTCACGTGCACAATCTCCCATTTTTTCATCCAGGGTCCTGGCACTGTCGTATCAAATTCGTCTTCGTCCTCCTAAAAGCAGTCATCAAGTTGGGCTTATAGACAGCATTTCTATCATATACAGTCGAACCTCATTATCCTGAAGTTGGTGGGACAGTGGGGAAACTTCGAGTTATCCGAGTATTCGATTGAAGTGAGTTCGGATGTTAAGTGAGAAGTTTGGCCGGGAACGATGAAAAACTTTGAATTAAACAGGGACTTCGAGTTATATGAGATCGAGATAACGAGGTTCGACAGTATGATACATATTAGCCACACCAATCTTACAATAGGAATGATACTTTAGCATCCTTTAATTATAATGTGTATAGTGTAATACTTGTTTATTTCGAAGGGTTCAAAATCCAGATAAACAGTTACTATGGAAATGAAATTTATAAAGATTTACAAAATAGTCCGCTTCGTAAATTCCGTATAAAAACATTTTTCTTCGACGATTATGCTTGAATAGTATTTAGTCACTAATCACTGGCCATAGCCCGCCCTTTTCTGAGTTCACTGGAGCGTCGTACTAGTAAAGGTGGATATTTTCATTGGCTTCAATTTACCTTGAAAATAACAAATTGGTGTGGTCCGTTCCATAATTATTACGAACATCAAACTCTTGGTTAACTTCCAAAAATTTGCTTCATCAAAAATTTCATTTGTAGTCAACTGTTATGTACATACCTCCACCGCAGCACTTCTTAGCAATTTGTGACGGACGGTTCTGTCGAATTTCTCCCACGATATCTTATAGTCTGGATCAGTGGCAGTCCTCATCAGAACGCCTTCCTTCAAACCGTAAAACCCGTTAGGTAGGCCAGGCTTCTGCCAACGCAAGTCAAAGCTCCAACGAATATCCTTAGACCTATTCAGGAGGCTGCAAGATCAATGTCCTCCGTTAAAAAGGTACGTGTAGGAGATATTCAATACCGAGGTGCAGATTCAGCATTGCTAAACAATAAATTTGGTAAAATTGTATTGTATATGTGCGTTTTAGCGTTCGTGGCCGTGTGCGTATGTCACTTCCGCAACGTGGCGCAAATTATAAAATAAATACGAAAGATTGTTTTAAGTTCGGTTATTCAGATTCTATACCTCCGTTCGATGACATTTGCAAACACACACACAGATATATAAATATATATATACACTTTAAAATGCTTAACATGAAACTTTTAAATACATTAACATGGAATGTAATTAGTTTTGCAGCATTTTTTTTTCAAATCTCCCATTTTGTATATCGTTGATATATATAGATGTATATATAAGTTTTATGTACCCTAGCTGTCGCTACTGGGCGATATTGTGATGGACACCTACCGCCTAAGGGAGTAGTATTTTATAGACCTACCTCCGATGAGGAATGACGTTGTTAAATAAAAGCATCCCTCCGTATGGGACCTCGCACGTGACAAAGTCCGTGGCCGGGTTTGTATCTGAAAAAGGGAAAACATCGACACCACAGTCAAAATAAAAAAAGGGCAACAGTTCTGATGGAATGAAGTCGTGAAGATTTGCATCTCACACCTGAAAAAATCCTAGGCATTCACATAAAAATGGCTTGCAGCGAAAATGGGAGGCAAATAAAGAGAAAACTGGGGAAACTGTATTGAGAAACGATATTTACAAGTATAATTTAATTAATTACCGAGACTTTTTACCATCTCCTCCTCGTTCAACATGACGTACCAGGTGCCGCCATCACAACACTGGTGAGTTGCTATCCTGCCTTTCCGGTGGCCTTTACGAACCATCTACCGAAGAAAAAAAGAAAATGTCGTAAAATTTTATTTGGTTCTCACAGAATTCCAGCATTGCATTGCTAGCTTACAATAAACACAACAATCTGTAGTTTACCATATTACAAAAAAAAATCATGTTTGACATAGCAGATCATCACCCTATCGTTATGCTAAAACATCATAATTCTGAAATTCAGTTAAATCCTGCCTTTCTGAAAAAATAGTTTTCTAGTTATTTTGTGTTTCAAATCGTTTTTAAAAAGATAAGTATGACATAATTGAAAACACCAACTGATATTTTCATGTATACCTATATTGATTTACACAAACGTATATGACAAGTTAGTAAGTTTTCCAACCGTATATTTGATTTCACAAGGTTCCAATGTATCATGTGCTCTGATGATTACATTAATTTTAACAGGTTTATTTCCAACCGCAGCTAAACAGGATATACAATAGAAAAGATTTCGAGTGACTTTATAATAACACTGCGAAAGTGTGTGGTCGCCATCAATATCAAATATTCTATTAATGTCTTAAGTATAAGTTCTTATTTAAGGAACCTGGCATTATTTCAAGTTAGCATATATTCTCTTAGCTGACATCGTTGGTAAAACAAAGGTAAACTACGTATGTATATTATCTAATAGCATCGGTGTAAATATGAAATGTTAGTATTTTCTCGCCAATTTAACTGATTCTGGATCAGAATTTCAATTCATGTGATAAGTGTCTAATACATGCAGCGACTGTGTTATATGACACTCACCTGCATACAGCCATTGCTAGCGTTTGCATCAAGGAGAGGTATCCAAGCGGTGGCCTGCAAAGTTGTGTAGCATTCGTTGTCTAGATAGGCACAGTCTGAAATACTAGGTCATATAAATACAAAGACACAGGAGCTCACAAATATATGGGTTCTAAACACAGTGGCTTACAAATATAGGTGATGAAAACACAGGGACTTACAAATATAGGTGATGAAAACACGGGGACTTACAAATATAGGTTCTAAACACGAGGGCTTACAGATATAGATGATGAAAACACAGGGGCTTACAAATATAAGTGATCGAAACACAGGGGCTTACAAATATAGGTGATCGAAACACAGGGGCTTACAAATATAGGTGATCAGAACACAGGGACTTACAAATATAGGTGATGAAAACACGGGGACTTGCAAATATAGGTTCTAAACACGAGGGCTTACAGATATAGGTGATGAAAACACAGGGGCTTACAACTATAGGTGATCGAAACACAGGGGCTTACAAATATAGGTGATCGAAGCACACAGCACTGTGATTTATAATTCGAGAGGCTTGAAACACAGTATTAACCACATCCGCGGGTCAATTGTAACTGGATAAATATCAGTGATAGCCACATATCTGCTAAAGATTAGATAGGTCTACATCACAAATCCCGTGACCACGAAATCCACTAACATTTAAAAATAAATCAATGTTCATCACAATTGTGACTGACAATATGGGAAGGATGAGCTAGTTTTAACACACACATATGCAAGATGAATGTGTCTTTTACCTTAATCAATTCCTCACTTAAAGATAAACACTTTCTTTCTTCAATATGTGAAAAAAGAAATGATAAGAGAGGCTATTTTGTTTTAAATCAACATATTAATGGGGGCAATATGGGGAAAAAGAAAGATTGAAATGTAGTGTGGCCAGTCTCCTTTTGTGACGGTAGTTCAAGATTGTTCTGAAATCTCAAATAAATCCAAGTCAACTTGACTTATCATACATCTGTCTTCAAAATACAAGAACTATTTTATGATATGTGAATTAACTCATTCAATTTATAACCTTGATGCCACGGCACTGTGGTAGCCTCGTTTTGGGGTGTTTTGGTTCGGAGGTTCCAGAGGGGGTGTCCGTTTATCTCGGGACCGATAAGCTGCTCCACCACATTCAATAATCTTTCATTACTCCACAATGCCTTAAACTCCTGTAAACACAACAATTGGGGCTCTTTAAAGCAGCTTCTTGTAAGATACGGACAGACGGAACCCTGCTTGGACAATGTTATTTATGAACAATAGAATGGCGTTAGTAAGGACATGTATGTGTTTGTTGTGTATGGAATCTTCATACGACAGCAGACTTGCTGAACACTTGAGTAAAAGCTTATAATAGTAGACATTGTGAAGTTCACGTTATCTCAAACATTTTGGAAAGTGAGCTGTACATTGACACTATAACTTTACTTGGTATTTTGTCAGCCCGATGTTGGTTTAAAAATAGCTGAAAACGAATTGGTCAGGCCGAAATAACTTGTAAACAATAAGATATGTTAATTGATTTATAAGAATAGTGGAGATTTCGAAGTGAAGCGTTTCGTCTGTAGCTAATCTCTTCTAGTATTCTTACCTCACAAAGATCTGGATATTTAAGTAGGATAATGTTAGCTCCTGGGAATTCTTTTTCTATTTGGGTCAATCGCTCAAAAAGTCCAAACTCCTCGTATAAATCTAAAACACCAAACTCCACTGATTTACAAATGTAAATGCTTGCAATATCTATGAAAAAATCATACTAAAACAAAAACAACTGGAGACCGGGCATTTCAGGGAGATATCTAAGTAGTATATTGGAGACTCACTATTGCGAACGAATACATATTTAATTTAAAACACGCATGCTTGGTCTTACCGATGACAACCTTAGATTAATACCATCGGTTAACGCTTAATATTGATTGGATTATTGTCTGTTTAATTTGTAGGTTCTTTGATGTGTGTTAAACGCTCCGTGAACAGCCATTTTGAGGCGGGGTCTCCTTTGTAGTAAATATTGGTTACCTCACTGAACAACATACAGAAGGCATGTAACAAGCCAGCTAGATCAATAAATTTAGGTGGCTTGCCCAATGACGCAACAATGCCAGTACAGACCAATCCGTTTCTCAGCCACGGATAGGAAGCGTCGAATCATACACCTCGGATCTCAATCTGAGGTTACGTATAGCAGAGAATCTGCTCCCTATTCCACCCCCGCCCATTCCCATTTAATATTACTTTTGAAGTATATGTCATACTTTTGATTTTGCCGGCCTTGTAGAGTTTCTGAGCCAATTTCTCCACTTGTCTCTCAACTGCCCGTCGACACGGCTCAAGCTCCTCTGGGCGGAAAAATTCTGGTACCACGACAAATCCCTATCATTAGATACATCAACAAATATATTGTATGTGTGATATGTACACGTGTTTAAATCACGAGCTCTACATAAATGTTTCTATCTTAACCTGTGAAAACACAGTATAAATTAAAAAAAAAAAGATTTGTGTAGCAGATTTATAAATCTAAAAAATAGTATTAGTCGACAAGAGGTGTTGATATGTTTTCTTCGATTTTACTATTTGTTAAAAAAAGTGCCATTTAAATATATTCGTTTCTTTGAATCCAGATTTTATCGCAATGAATCGTAATTATCAACTAATTGTGGTAGTTTCATAAAATACTGTTAAATGGAACTTTTTCTCTTTCTTAAAGACGACAACGCGAATTTAAAGTGAACATTCACCCTGAACGACCATCGTTGTGATCTAGGAAGTCATGAGTAAACCCCCATGAAACCACGGACATTCTTCTTAGTTCATCTGCCCCGTAAGACCAAGTTTGCTATAATGATACCGCGGCGTCCGTCGTCCCTCAACTTTGACCTTATATTGCAACTTTTCATGAAAGATAATCAAATTTGGTCTGAAGCATCCTTTGGAGAAGAAAACCAACAGGGAAAAATCTATGAATTTCTTTAAAATCTACCTTGTTCTTGAGGAATTGCTGGTTATTGTCCAAAATTGGTCTGAAGCATACTAGGGTGAAGAAAAATCTGTTTTGTATAAATGGTGTGTCTCGGCACTCTGAGGCTAAAGGGGAGGGTCCCATGGGAAAAAAATCTATCGATTGTTTCAAATCTATCTTGTTCTCCAAGAATTGGGGGATATTATCCCAAAATGGTCTGAAGCATGAAAGGAAATACTTTTTTTCATAAACTGTGGTTATCGGGGTCCAACAGGGAAAACCTAGGACTTTCTTCAAAATATATCTTGTTCTACAGGAATTGCAGGATATTGTCTACTTTTGCATCATCAATAACTCATTTCAATATTCGCTTCTTTGAATCAGTTGTGAATAAGTATACCATTGTTAAGCGTCAGGAGATAATCACAATCATAACTGATAATTTGTCCTGGGGTCTGGTCCCAACCAGGATAGATTATATCTTTGAAGATATTAAGATTACCATCCCATAACTTAATAGAATTTCTGGACATCAAGAGATTAACAACTGATCTCTGTCCCCGTCCCTACTGTATCTGTGGGGTAATACTTATCATGGGAAATATTTCCCTTGTACTGAAATATAAAGTTTTGAATTATTGACTTAAATACCCAGGTGGGCGATACAGGCCCTCTGGGCCCCTTGTTTTAAATATATCATTTGATCTCATAATATGACTACTTCATATCGATTTGAGTTGATCCACCTATTCCGAATGCTACCATTTGTATACAAATTTAGGGTTAAATGCAGTGAAATTACCCTCTGCAATCACATACCTCCTCGAAGAACTCTCGGATGACGTGCTGTGGAAGCTGACCAGGTTTGGCTTGCTCCGGGGGTGGTGGCATGGCACGTACATCGAACAACTCCGGGTGTGCCTCGTGCACCAGACCCGGTGGTATGAACGGAGTTGATTCATCTATGTCCGCCATTATTTACACAAACGCTGTGTACCTCTTTATTGATAAACTGCTGTGTTTACATAAGTGACATCAATGTAGCTGATAACATTTCCTAAATGCTTTTCTTTCACGAATAACGAATAAGGCCTTCAAGCTATGAAACAAATCCGAACTCTAATTCTTTCCTGAAGTCTTAATACATGCAGATATTGATGTATCAGCATTTGTTTTTAAAGCTTTACTTAAAACATCAAAACATTTATGTATAAAGAATTGTGCGTTAAATATTTGAATCGAATTGAATTATAACCAATTATTTCACCAATTTTCGATTTTCTTATATCTCTCTATATCTGAATACTAACGTTGATTAGCTACGTATGACCATCCTCGTTATTCCAGGAGTTACTGTCACTTTCGCTATCTGCAACCGTGGAACATGTCATGGCAAAATTGAAAGTTTCAAGTGCGACACCTTGATTACAAGAAAAAAAGACTAGTTTGATCCTTTGATGAACATAAAACGAATCTCGAGATCTGGAACCAATTACAGAACTTCTTTAACAACAACGGCAGCCTAAACTTGGAAACAATCGTAAACATGTCAATATTCTATATACGCGTCGGTGTCCAACCCTCCCCCCCCCCCCAAAAACAAAATCAATCTACTTTCTTAATGAACGGACATACACCTAATCAAAGTGGAAAATTGGAATATAAGAACACAAGAAACACATAAAGCTTCATGAAGATCCCCGAACTTGTTTTTAAAGAAAAAATGATTCGATAGCTCTTGAGCATTGCGTAAATAATTATAAAATGCTAATTAAAATTTGCATATGCGTAAGTCTAATTTTGGCACAACACTTCAGTATTTGACATCTATTGGAAACTTGAATAAAACGGACGGAGATATTCGTGAAAGTAGAGATCTCAACCTAAACGTCAAAATTCAAAATGGCAGATGACAGCCATCTTGAAAATTTGCAACTCAATCCATATTTAAAAAAGGAGAAAATGTCAGTACTAGAATTGTTTATGGGTGGATAGGAAACTGGCAAAATAATATTAACTGGCGCATAAAAAAATGTCCTACTTTCATTTCGTAAAACCGGAAGTACGTAAAGGTTGTGACGGAAGTAACCTGTAACATTAAGTACGATAAAACACATGACATCTCCTTTCATACAACAATGTACAGGTAACACACATGACATCTTTCACATATCAGCAGTAAAGATGCCGTATTCGTATTTTGGCGTCAGAAATGAGAATTGATGTAAGTATTTCAGCAAAATTATTTTAGAATGTTTGTACACAGCACTTGTGTCTGGAACGTAAATGACAAGCATAAATCCAGTCCACTAGAGCATCATACAAACCTGATTTTCGCTTGTGTTGTTCACGTTCCATATACAGGTACCGTCTTTGATTTGATTGAAATATGATCTAAGGATGTGAATCGCGTTTCGTGCACTGAATTACTGATATATTCTCCTTACTATGTTCATTTTAGTCACGTGCTTTGTTATTTTTTTTATTATTGATATGATTTTTTAAAAAGAAAAACTCTATGCATCAATCAGAATATGTTGTCCAGTTCCCACTCTCCCCTTCCACACTGTCTTGTATTTCTGTACAAGAATATATATATATTCTAGCTAGTGGTTTGGGCAAGCTCTCAACATTTCACTGGAACATTAGGTTTCTTACAGCATTAATTTCTGTCATGGATGAAGATGAACATTTAAATTTAACTGGAGAAGGGTGATGGGATAGAAATGGAGCTGACTGTTTCTGCAAATTTTATAAATTGACTCGGTGACCTAATATCCTTTTTCTGACCACTTCATAGTATCCAGCCCCACATACTCTACATGCTTGCTTGAGAGGAATGAAAAAATGATAATTTGGTATTCTTTTTTGAAGTCTGTCTCATTCCCTGAAAAAAAAATTCTTATTTGAAGTCTTGATCCTAACATATCCTGAACTGACCACTTTGTTGCCATTCATGTATCTACTCTTCATCAACATTTTACAGAGGGATCTTTATCTTGTGAGTTGGACATTTGCACATTGAACACCATATTAAGTCTCATTCTAATGGACTTAATACCTGTGCTATGATATATTAGCTCACCTGGTCCGAAGGACTGTGAGCTCATGCCGCAGCAATGCATGTGGCATCTGGTGTCCATCAACATTTTACAGAAAATCGCTACTTGTCATGAATGACCGAACATGTTTTGTCCAAAGTTGGACTCATCCTTAGGGGAATGAGAACCAAGTCGGTATAAATATTACTGTTTTGCACCAAGGGGTCTGAAGTTCTCTAAAATCCTTCTTCCTCTGTAGGAATGAATAGATATTGAATGAAGTGAAATCACTTTGGTATGAACTGGGCCCTCTGTGTGGGAGAGGTGTGGCCCAGTAGGGAGAAAAGAGCAAATTTTTAAAAACCCTACTCCTCATGGGTGGTGGTTGTAAGGAAATGAATGGATTGCCCAAATATGGTTAAGTATTCATAGGTGAAGGGGAATCAGTTCTGTATGAACAGTGGATCTCTATGCAGATGGTTGAAATCTGTACAAATTTGGTCTGAGGTATCTTTGAGGGTGAGAGGTTGGACACAATAGGGAGAGGTTGGACACAATAAAGGGAAAATGCAGCAAATTATTTCAAATTGCTCTTATGCTAGTAAAACCAGCTATTATCTATCAAATATCTAGTTGACTGGTTCTGTTCTGCAAAATATATAGTACTGTAGTATCACTGTTATTCATATGTGTGAACCTTCTTTTATGTTCCAGAACTGGTGATGTAAGAAAAAAAGGAAATTACAATGGCAGCAATAGAATGGAAACGACAAAACTTAGCTTATCAGGTATGTAGCTAGGTATATTGATTTACCAGTTACTTTGTTTGTAGAAATATATTGACAATTACTGCAGGTACATCGCGATCGATGTGACTTATTGTACCCATCCCAAATGAAGCTGCTTCTCTGTTAACTCTTGGTTTGCTTTATACTTGTAGAGTTTGACGGAAGTGCCCACAGAGCTGATTGAACAAGAGGGAGGCAGGACTGCGGAGCTAGATTTAACACATAATAAGATATCATATCCTTTTCATTAATGACCAAAAATTGTTTTCCTGAACAAGCAACAATTTCATAAATTATCAAATATTTGGCTTTTACCAAGCCATACTCCAGAGGTTACAATCACTTTCGCTCTCTGTACCCCTGAAACATGTCATGGCAAAATTGAAGACACAAGCGCAGTAATTTGATTGGTTTCCAGGAATAAATGACTGACCAATCACAGGTTGATACATTCCTTTTGAAGACTACAAAAGTGACACCAAATTACAAAGCCACAATATACAGTTATGTAACCTCGCGATTCGCTTGATGTACATTCATGGATCGAAGTGGCCTTTTCATCTTAGCCAAAAAGTGTCACACATGGAACCCTCAATTTATCTATGGCATGTTCCATGGATGCAGAGAGTAAAAATTGTCGTAACCCCTGGAGTCACAAGGATGTGACCAAAATGACCAGTCAGAAGATATGAAAATAAAACGGGCCAAAAAGCTACTGATATATGAACTGTAAACATGACTTTTGTTGTGAGCGGCATGGTTGTTGTGTTATATTCCTTACAGCTGTTGTACAGATCTGAGATTCCTTATTGATTACCCCCAGTTAACAACACTGATTCTGGACCACAATCAAATTGGATCGCACGTCAAAATGCCCTCCATGAACAAACTCCATACGCTATGGCTCAATCATAATAAAATCACTAACCTTAGTAAGCATTTAACTTTTTTTTAGTAAAAACTATTCTTATATTTAAATTTTAATTTGTAGAAATATACCTGCTATTATTTGTAGATAATTTTACATACATAGATTTAAATTTTAACCTTCCATAATCAGATGACAGACTTAATTTCACACCGCTTTAGTCTCTTGTGTGTCCATTTATTTTCAAAATTTTTGTTATCGCTATTTCTTAAAAAATACCTACTAGATATTTCAAATAAATTTTTCTTCGGGTCACCAGCCTTCTGGGCCCAATTGTTCAAATTATATGAAAAACAATTAGGTTAAATTTATGAGGAAGCCATCTTGGATTGAGGTTGCTGTTTCTGTACATATTTACTTCCTCTTCTTAGGCACATTCATAGCTACACTAGTCAAAAGTTGTCCAAACCTGCGGCATCTATCAATGATGAATAATGAAGCTGCACCCAGTTTCTTCAATGGTGGCACATTCCAACAATACATGGATTACAGGTTTAGTACTGTCTTTGTCTTATTGTTGATTTCCTGTAGTGCTTTTTTGATGTCAGGTATCAATTCTGAAAAAGAATGTGATATTGAGATTGGAAATGCAAGGTTAACTTTGTGTTATGGACCAGATTTGAGGTTGATATGATGATTTATTAACCCAAAGAAAATCACATTCTAGAGTTAGGAAAAACTCATCATAATTCATTGTTTGTGTCTTAACCATGATCAATTTTGCATTGTTTACTGATAAAGTGTACAAAGACACTAAAATATTTACCAATTATTAGAAGCCTAAATCAGCTTGTTTCTACATGTAAAGAGACCTAGAATTCAGAATATAATATCCTTTACATAAATTTCGTTACATGGTTATCATTTACAATCAGTGCTATATTTCTGTTAATTTTAGGAGTATTAAGTCTGATATGATAAAATTTTTCAAATCCATAGATACTTTGTCATCAGTCGCTTGAAAAAGTTGGATGCTCTGGATGATAAAATCATACAAGAAAATGAAAGAGCGGAAGCAGAAAGGATTTACGGACGATCTGTAAGTTTTACAGGGATAAGTTTTAAGTCATGATTGTATGATAGCGGAGTAAACTTGACACCCGTAAGATAAATTTCACACTATGACACAAAGTTGTTAAATGTGTCTATTCTGCAATAAGTTAGGGGCAGGAACAATATTAATACATTACCTCTTGCTTGAAGTAAGTGGATAGGCTTTTTACAAGACAAGAAATAGCATGGTTTATAATTTCACCAAAAGAACGATGTATACATGTATAAATTGGCTTCATTATGCTCCCTGAAAGGAGAGTATATAGTTGCCGCATTGTCCATCCGTCTGTCATGATTTTGTCAGGAGCATAACACAAAATCTATAGGAGGTATCAATATAAGCTTTCATTGGTTGATGTATCACAACTAGGAGAAGTGCAGTGCACAAGAGCCATCACTCTCATAATTTAGGAGTTATTGCCCTTTGTTATTTTTCATACTTAAATTTTTTCCGGAGCATTACACTAAAACTATAAGAGGTATTAAAATGAAACTTCTTAGGTAGACAGGTCTCAAAGAGTAGGAGGGCAGTACGTAAGAATCATAACCCTTTTATTGGCCTTTGTTATTTCCATACATAAATTTTGTCCCAATCGGGTAGCATAACTAGTCTCTGACGGCCCTTGTTATTTTCAGTGGAAATTTGATCACAACTTATCATTTATTGCATTGTATTGGTACATTTACTCTTGTAGACTTCAGAATATTGTTAACATTGCAGAAATCACGGAGAAAGAGTACAAAGAAAAAGATGGAACAAGACAACACATAGATATACTGCTTGTGATAGGTATACTGATTGTGAAGGCATGTCATCAGTGCATTTTTCTACTTTGATGGTGCTGTTCTATCTCTGCAATCCAAGGGTTTCACTCTCATTATAACTTGGAACTTGTTATACCTTGGAACTTTTGCTAACCTTCTTATACCTTGGAAATCACAGTGACCTCATTATATCTTGGAACTCTTGGTGACCTGATTATACCTTGGGACTCTTGGTAACTTCATTATACCTTGGAACTCTTGGTAACCTGATTATACCTTGGGACTCATGGTGACTTCATTATATCTTGGAACTCTTGGTAACCTGATTATACCTTGGGACTCATGGTGACTTCATTATATCTTGGAACTCCTTGGGATGGTGACTTCATTATACCTTGGGACTCATGGTGACTTCATTATATCTTGGAACTCTTGATAACCTTACTTGGAACTCAACCTGATTGTACCTTGGAACTCTTGGTGACTTCATTATATCTTGGAACTCTTGGTAACCTGATTATACCTTGGGACTCATGGTGACTTCATTATATCTTGGAACTCTTGATAACCTTACTATACCTTGGAACTCATGGTGACCTGATTGTACCTTGGAACTCATGGTGACTTCATTATATCTTGGAACTCATGGTGACCTGATTGTACCTTGGAACTCATGGTGACTTCATTATATCTTGGAACTCTTGGTAACCTGATTATACCTTGGAACTCTTGGTGACTTCATTATATCTTGGAACTCTTGGTAACCTGATTATACCTTGGAACTCACAGTGACTTCATTATATCTTGGAACTCTTGGTAACCTTACTATACCTTGGAACTCACAGTGACTTCATTATACCTTGGAACTCTTGGTAACCTTACTATACCTTGGAACTCATGGTGACTTCATTATACCTTGGAACTCTTGGTAACCTGATTATACCTTGGAACTCTTGGTGACTTCATTATACCTTGGAACTCTTGGTAACCTTACTATACCTTGGAACTCATGGTGACTTCATTATACCTTGGAACTCTTGGTAACCTGATTATACCTTGGAACTCATGGTGACTTCATTATACCTTGGGACTCATGGTGACTTCATTATATCTTGAAACTCTTGGTAACCTGATTATACCCAGGTTCAAAGTCAAGGCTCTGCTGATGATAAAACAAATTACTAAAATAAAAATATTAAAGAACTATTACAGAAGTACGAAAATCTGTGATCTCTTTCATCAAAAGTGATAGAATCTGAAATCCATGGGGACAGACTTTGATTCTTTCTTTTATAATTTATAATACATTGTTGTTACTTTGAAAATTGATGTCATGTTGTCAATTATATTAATGTATTATGTATGGATATTGTCATTATACAGTTCAAAGTTCACTGCATCACTAACAACTTACTATGATATTATTGAGTAGATTATATGCAGTAATTAGAAATGTTTTAAGAAGGAAGAGGTTTTTATCAAAGCATTGTTTGATTTAAGAAATTGTATTTATTTTCTGTGTTTAATAACTTCATTCTGATTTTAAACTTAAACAATGTAAACATACATATTTTGTCATGCTGAGAGTAATATGCTGAATTATTGCTGTGCTAATTGCTGTCATTTTATGCTGCTTATATATAACTTTGTGTGGATACACCACTTTATCATTGCTCTATTATGCCAGAAAATGATTTCGCATTAAAATTTGATAGTGCCAAAAGAGATAAATTAAGAATAGAACATTTGTGTACAATGAGTTAGACATATATTTATGGTTGCTGCAGCTTTAACCAGCTTACACTTGAATGACTAGAATGTTTCAGGAAAAGTTATACTTCTAGAAGCATACTCCACTCTTACGACAAACCCACCACTAATGTAAATTCAGGTATGCAGAAAGGCAGCTGCTATTTTTGCCATCATTTTAGGAATGTGGATGTCATTAAATACTCCAAACTTTTTCAGCTGGATTCTATGAAAATCTTTAACTCTACATAAAATTTAACAAATGAGCTACAGCAGAATATGAATTCACAATAACCTGACTGAAACCATTGCTAAATGATTTCACTCTACAAGTCTTTTGGTGTAGAAAATGTATGGTGCCTTTTAACTGTAATTTTGTTTCACTATATCAGTTTACAATAAAGAATGAGATTTAATGACTATTGATGTAAGGTCTCTTTATTATAAATATTATTAGTAAAATTGCACATCTTAACGAAGATGATATGTCCATTTATTTAACTTTATTTACCATGTTGAATTGATATATTAGGGTATTGTTTCATTGCCGCCTTTGTTGGAGTTACCTCCCTTCAACATAGATTAAAATTTATAACATACAAAAGAACTCTTTATTGTATAAGAGATTGGTGATGGTGCCTTTGGCTATTCACAGAAGTCAGGAAATAAAACAATGACAGAATTAATCCAGAGTTTCATTTTAAGGTCACTGGGCCAAGTAAGATATATGGATAGTTGTATCGAGTGTCTGCTGTCTGTCAATTTTTCCTATAAATCACATTTCCTATATTTCCAACTTTTCCTATAAGTCATATATGAATGAGTTGATTTTTACTAAATTTGGTCTGAAGCAATACTGGGGGAAAGGGAAATAATTTTATAGAAATAGTGGTTCTCTGCCCCCTGGGGCAAGAGGAGTTTGGCCTATTGGAAAAAAAAAACTCCTTTCTTTTCCTTTAAAATCTTTCTTGTTCTTCAGGAATTTTATATAAACAGTGGATCTTGGCTTCCTGGGGTGGGAGGGTCAGGGCCAAATGAAGGAAATTTATCTATTTCCTTTAATATCTATCTTGTTCTTCAGGAATAGCAGGGTATTGTCCAAATTCAGTCTGAAGCATGGCAAGGTGAAGGGATATTGCTTTTGTATAAACAGTGGGTCTTGACCCTCCTGTGGTGGGAGGAGCGGTATTATATGGGAAATAGAGCAAATTTATAAAACTTCCTACTCCTTCGATAGGAATAGTTGATTTTTACCCAAACTGGGTTATAGCCCCTAGGAGCAAGGCCAAATACAGGAAAAATAGCAAGTTCTGTAAAATCTTTTTTCTTCTGTAGGAATACCTGTTTTATCTGAAGCATGCTTTGGCGAAGGGAATTAGTTTTGTATAAAAGTTGGATCTCAGCCCTCTTGGTCAGAAGGGGATTGAGCCTAATAGGGGAATTCTTTAAAAAGCATTCTGATATAGAAAGGTCACGAAAGAGTATTTTCTAGAAAAACGATGAAAATTGAGTCCTATCTGACAGTAGTTTAAAGCCAATGCAACACTGAACAGGGTGAAAAAAAGGAAACAGAGTTACTGCCCTTGAAAACATTTGAAATTATCTCCCTTTTTATGTAGCCTGATGTTGATATTGCCAAATATGCAAATGAATTTGGACCACAGTCAGGAAGTTTTCTCTAAAATATAAGAGAAATCAAAGGTTTTGCAGGGATGTGGTTGGGTGGGGCGTTTACATAGGCCATCCAGCAAGGTGCCCAACACCCTCCTTTTCAATACATTTTTGACTGCAAAATTAGAAAAAAATATAAAAAGTGCTTAGTGGTATTTGAACACATGATATTTGGGTTTGTTGTCCAACACATAACCAACTTCACTATCCAGGCTAGATTGAAGGCAATGGCATTTCTTGTGCATTATATTAACATTAATCTCATGAAGAAGAAAACCCAATGTAACTGGACCACTCTTTTTCTGATCTCCATTGATCCGATACATATTTGGCATTTCATTCATTAATAATAATGACAATTAAATTAGTCTGTCAGTGTAAAAAGAAACTCCGCAAGCTGTCCATACATAATCAAACTAGAGAACCATGTATTCTTTGAAGTACAAATATTTCATCTTGTATCATATATTTCAAGAATCAATGTGATATAATATCTTAGCTCGCCTAGTCTGGAAGACTGATGAGCTTTTGTCATATTGCAGTGTCCATCACCTTTTTACTAAAAATCACTTCTAGTCATAAACAACTCACTACATTTTGACAAAATTTGGGAAATTTAGCTAGTTTAGCTAATTTCTTCTTCAGAAAAGGTTTTTGCCTTAATTTAATCTGAAGCATTTCTGGGTGAAGGGGAATCAATTTTGTATGAATGATGGATATTGATCCCATTGGACGGGAGATTTGGGGCTGAATAGGGGAAATAAACAAATTCTATTAAATCTTCCTTCTTGTCAGAATATCAGAGTTCTGTCCAAATTTGGCCTGAAGCATCCTAGGGTGAAAGGAACTCAATTTTGTATAAATGGTGGGTCTCAGCCCTCTAGGATGGGCCCAATATGGGAAGTAATGCAAATTCTTTTAAATCCTTCTTCTTCCTTGCATGGTTATAATTAGCATAATCTAAAAGTTTTACTAAGTAAAATTATAATTTGGAGCAAAATTGTAAAAATGGACAAAAAAAATTTTTTTTTGATAAAATCTCAAGGAATCAGATTTATTTCAGAAGATGCATATTTTTGTTTTTCTCATTTGAGTTGAAAATCATGGTTAAAATATACCAACATTTAATTTGATTTTCATAAGTCAATACCAGACATTTTAAAGAATTAACATGTAAACACAGTAAAACAGAACAAAGTCAAAGTTGATTCAGTATTTTCGTATTTATTTCTAAATACCTCTCCATTTCAAGGAATATTTCATTACCTTTTGATTCACATGTACCCCACTAGTAGAAAATTATTTTGTTGACCGAAAACCATTTAAGTAATTCTATCAAAATACAAAATGTATAAGTCAGTTTACCAAATAGGAGGCAAAATATGATTTTGTAAGTATGAACATCTAAAAGAGAGTGATACTCAGAGTTTGTACTGGTTAAATTTACTCAGAATTCCTTTGAAGCAGTATCAGAAATAAATTATACCCATACAAAATTTATGTTAGTTTCCATGCTTTAACAGTCTGGTTATAAGCATGTCTTCAAGTAATTGCAATCTTTTTTATTTTCATCTTTCAGACTTAACCTGAGTATATTTTTGTAGAACATACTTACTGACCCAGTATTCAAATCTATATTATATCTTTTCCATTTAAGGGGGACAGAATTTGCTTGTAACTGAAATTCACAAGAATTTTTTTTAGAAAAAAAAAAGAAGTTTTTTAGTCATCTTGACTAAAGTTTGTCCGTAAAGGCATGACCATCTGTGCAATATCTGTGGCAGTCTCACTACGTAGGGCATTGGCTGCATGTGTGAGTTGTAGAGCAGCATCTGGGTGAGCTGTTCCAGGTAACATGGTGCATTCCCTCTCTAACATTGTTGCCATACCTTCCAGTAACTCATGGAAACCAAAGCCTAGGGCTGCTCTGCGTAGTCTGTTTAGCTCCTGTGTGGACATAAAATACTCAGGTGAATAGTGGTCAGTAATTAAAAATTTCAAGAGTCTAAAATAGTGAAAGTTATGTCAAAACATAAATACAAATGTGATAATTACACAATGTTTCCTCTGGCACTACAAGGTAAACCTTGAGACAACACTGAAGCAGGTATGATCTGAAGATTGACTGGGCTTGTCCCTCTACGCCCATAACAGCCAGAACCACTTAAAGGTGGGGTTTCCTGGCATTAACTGGTGGCATCTTTACTGAACAACATACAAGAGGCTTGCTACATGATATCCAGAGCAATAATGGTGAAGTGGTAAAAATGGTTAAGGACACCACCATATCTGTTGTTCTGCTTCCAGAGAAACCCTAACCCCTTCAGGTAGGGAGCGTCAAACCATGCACCTTGAATCTTCACCCTAGGTTACATAGGCTAACACTCTCTTGACTGAAGTAATGTGGTTCCGCCTGAAGTAGTCTGGATGTATATATATATACAGGATAGCATTTCCTGTCCACGTTGTCACAGAAGCATAGAAAGGTAAAGTCAAATATAAAGAAAACAGATTTGTTATTGCTTGTTTGATTTACCTTATAAAACTGCTGCTGTTTTTCCGGAAGTTTTCTGGCATGTCTCAACACCTTTTGTAGGTCACTCTGTAATACAAAAGAACTGTTGAAATATTTCATATTCCAGTCATAAAGTAGAGATTCTATCTGACCAGGCAACCAGGAAGACACACTCTGTGTTCTATGTGTTATTATGTGTGATGGGAAGAAAGTTAGTCAAAATACACAATGTTTGGGCAAGCATGTCAGTCTTATAAAATAATGGTTAATGTACAATAATGACATGTTACTTATTAAGTTGAATAGGTTGAGAATCAACTACAAGAAGATGAAATTTTTCCAGTGTATTAGTATCAAAACCCTCGAATATGAAAACTGTCGGCTATACCTATTTTATCTATAATCATTTGTACGGTCACTAACCAGCATTGGTTCAACAACCTACAACTACTCAATGTTTTAGGGAGTTATCAAGTGTTAGTAATAATCAGATATGGGGAAAGGTAATTTTGTTGGCATGATTTTTTATTGATGATAAATAGAATCAATCTCAACATGCTTGAGGCGGATTATTAACAATTCCATTTATTACAGCACTTTCAAGGCGGTTGAAACGGTTGGACAGGTTGAACTTGCAAGAAAATACCAGGCACAGATCAGGAACGAGGATGGACTAAGGATTATTTGGTATGTGCAGTTTGAGGGGTCCAGTCATATCTGTCTGAAACTAACTTGCTGAATATCATTACTTTTCAGAATTTCAGCTGAAAAAGTAGAGACTGTGCACTTGCATATTTCCGGGAGCATAGAGTATGAGTGAAATGGATGGTATCTTAATTTAAGTTAATAGTTTTATGCCTGATAAGACATTCTGAAACTGTGCATTTTGAGCTTTACATATATTGGGTCCAACATTTGGTACAAGTGCATTCGTATATAGTGGAATCATTCCAGACCACTTAAACTATTTCAACCGGGTTATGTGAATGCAGCCTAAGACTACCTAATAAAAGAAATTTCAGCCTATTGTGATTGATTCTTCTCGATTTAAGCTCATCCTTATTCATCAATCCCCTGTATACCTCCAGATACTCAGGTGATAAACGAAGGGCCCATCTACTCACTACTTGAAAGAAAGACAATGTTGGCTCTATCTCCAGATACTTTTATTGATGATATGATAAACTTTGCTAATCTGGATGGAAACCCGTGAAATTTAAGCTGTGCTAAAAATTTCTGCTTTTTGATGCGAGACATTTGAACCCCATAAAGATATAAGCTCTTAAAACATGCTACATATCAAAATCATGTAACAGAAATGTAAAATTTTTTCTTAAATTGATTAAAGCTTACCTGTAACCCTGATGGTTTAATCCAATATTAACTCTTCTTTATTCATGTCTTGAATGGATTCAAGCTTGCCTGTAACCCTGATGGTTTAATCCAGTTTCAACACTTCTTTATTCATGTCTTGAATGGATTCAAGCTTGCCTGTAACCCTGATGGTTTAATCCAGTTTCAACACTTCTTTAATCATGTCTTGAATTGTTTTAAGCTTACCTGTAACCCTGATGGTTTAATCCACACCACACAGCTCTGTGCATAGCTACGTTTATCCTGGGGGCGTACAGGAAATGGTGTTTTGTTGTCATCTTCTCCATATGGAGGATCAGAGAAGTCAGATATCGGGGCTAAACTGCTCATTGGACCAAGCCAGTTTATAGGTTCCTGACCTATAAACACCAGTATACATAATAAAGTATAGAATTTCATTCAATTATTATAAAGAACAAAGAATTCAAAATATTCCAAATTTGTGGCTACAACTTTTTTCTTTCATCAAGATCACTTACCAGGTTCTAATAGAGAAAGCATGAGGTTGCTTTTTTTCTTGCTGTCTGCCCAAGAGTACAGGAGACCATACCAGTCTGGGCTGTTAATAAACAATACATTCAACTATTAAATAAACATTCTTCCATCACGACCAGTAAAAAATATTGTGTGAGGTTCAAAAAGTTCTTTAATTTTAATATAATCTTATACACCATATACCTCAGTGCAAATATGTTTCACAATAGTCATTTGACTGATGAAGGTGAGTGTAGTCATGGAAACATCACAGGTAATTTTCTAAGTTGTTATGATATAAGAACATCAGTTCATTATACTTTACAAACCTAATGGAAATGTTCCATGATATACAAACAACTACATAAAATTCTTTCTATCATAGAGTAATATAAGGTATCGTATAGTTAATGTCGTTATTCCTAATGTTGGGAACAGTCATCTTGATACTTCTAATAGCTGTACAATTATGCCACATTACATTCCAAACTTCCTACAATTCTTCATCTGATGAGATATTCTGACCAAGGTGTCATTATTGTTTCTGTTGCCTGTCAATGCCTTGTCCAAACAAAACTTATTCCTATCCACTAATATTCCAACATTGAAAAGTACTTTCCTTTGTTCAAGTTTAAAACCTAATCAAAATACAGCATACAAAACCATGTTTCCTTCTGACTATGAAATTTTCTGGAATGAAATACAAAATGATGTGGCAGAGCAGAGGAATAACTCAAATTTTAATTTGTATTTCACAAAATCCACTTACACTCCATCTTCTAGTAAATTTTTTTACAGATCATAAATCAAACTACAAACAATACAACAATTGCAAAACAAGCTAACAGCTTATATTCTGTGAATGAAATTTGTAGGGGGTCTGTGGAAGAAATCTGGAGTAACAGGAAAAACACCCATATAGCCAAGCAGGTGACCAGTGCTATCAGACCATCCAGAATTCATGGGTTTAATAAAAGTAACAACAAAAAAAAAATATTAAAACCAGCCATTTTATAAAATGCCAGAATCTACAAACCCGACTTTTGTAAGAGCCACCATCCCCTCCACTTTCAGACTGCCGTGTAATAAGACAGTAAAAGCTGGTACTTTTCCCTCGTCATGGCTAACACTTGTTTCCTCATCTTCTTCTGTTTTAACATCTTTACTGGCTTCTGCAGATATGAAATAATAATAATGATGATGATTTTTTCCTCAAATTGTCACATCTATAACTTTCTGCTGTGTTACATATATGTACATATTTTGTAGACTTTGAGACACTAAGTACCAAGACTTTTCCAGGGCTCTCTGACATAAGTTGAAGACTGGTCAAAGTATTACTGTCTTTAGAATGTTATCAATGATTTGTGGTAAAATTGTCATTAAGATTCTTCTGTACTACCACAACATGGAGAACAAATATTATCATAATTTCATCAAAACACAGTAGAAATTTGCTTTTGTGATTATTTTTGGAAAAATATTATTCTTTTTCACCAAAATACCAAAGACAAAATTCAAGGATTTTTCAAGGCATTAATGTTGAATTCCAAAACTTTCAAGGTGTGACACTAAAAGTTAGGATTATTCCATGCAAAAGCTGAAAGTAAAGGACGTTTCCATTTGTATGGATCAAGCTATGCTAAGATCAAGCTCTTTAATCTATATGTAAATTCATTTCTATACCTCGAAAAATAATTATAAGCTTACCACTTTAGACACTGTCAAATCACCAGCCTATAATCCAGTGAATTTGTCAAAGTAATATTTTTGCACATGCTATTTAGTGATGTTTTCTTTTCAAAGATATGATCATTCACTTATGTATTCTATTCAATCAATATAAAGCAAAGACTGAGGGGTGATGTGGTGCCCAAAACTATGTTTGACAAGATGTCCACATGACCATGTTTTACATCAACAGCTATACATTTTAGGTAGGAATTTACAATCATTTATCTAAATTTGTTATTTTATTTTACAAAGGTTGAAGTGAATTGTAACTACTTGATAGTAAATAAGGTTTTGCAATAGATAAATGCCCTACCAACACTCTCAAAACTATTACCATCTGATTTGTTTTCTTTTGAAGAATTTGGAAACACCAGATGTCTTGATAGCGTCTGAGGACTGGCAACATCTGCAATATCTAAAAACCCCAGAATGTCCAATTTATCAGCAACTTCTGTGTCAATCGTCTCAAAATCATGATTCCTGAACAAAACATACAAAATAACAATATCTTAAGATATAAATTATTTAAAATAAGAAAAATAAAACATGAAAAGACACACTGTGCCTTCATTGCTTCTGTGCTGAACATTCTTATTAACAGATAAATTGAAAGCATTCATTTCGAGCTTTGTCTACTGACAGCATTTCTTATCCTATGAATATTCCAAAACAAATCGGTGAAAATACATTCCACTAATCAAGAGGAGTAGGCTTTGAGGATTTAAAATCTTATATATCTATTTTTGGCGTTATTTTCAATTAAGATACATATTGTTTTTACAGAACAGTTTATACAAATAGTTATAATGACAAAGCATGTTCAAAGATAAATCTCCAGTAAATGAAGACCAAGCAATCTAAATATAAAATGGTTGAAAGACATATGAAGTACAATTATTTCATTTTATTCCACTTACTTCCTGTATGGGTCTGGTGCTGGGTACAGATGAACTGGACATTTGAAATGACCACACTGTAATGTGCCATGATACGGCGAATAACATCGCTCAGCTAATTGTTCAAACAATGTCTGCACACTTTTTAAGCCTAAGGAATTTTCCGGCACCATCACCTCCCCTCCTTGGCCATTAATTTCTATAAGTTTTTCAAACATAGGAATAGCACTTTTTACTTCACTCTCATTGGGATTACCCAAGATCACCACATTAAGCTTACAGGAAAATGGAAATGGAAGAGGAAACTTTTCATCAACATTGCTTCCTTCATGTTTGCTCCAGTTTTGCAACATGGTTTGTAGTGACCTTTGACCTGCACCTGTGGATCCATCTGTTATTAAAACAGCCTGCAATCAGTTGTAAAAGACTTTATATTAATAAAATGAATTGTTTTAAACAGTTTGTCCTAAACACAATGATAATTATATCCTTAAAAAGAAATATTGAGAAACATGTCCTAAATAACATCCAATATTTTGGTATCATTTCTAAGATCATTGGGAGTTACATATGACAGGCACACATTTGATATTGGTATGAAGACTGAACTTGTGCAATACAGTGTATGGATATTGTGATGAAATATGTTATGTGATACTATAAAAGTTTTTAAGGAATCCTATTTTTGCTATTTATCAATGCGGAATAGAGTTGTAAACAAGAGGTCCACAGGCCTTAAGGGTCATCTGAATATAAGGACCTACCGTATATATGAAAGAGGCAAAATAGGCATTAAATAATTGCTCAACTACACTACAGCTTTCATAGAAGACACTGATTGGTTCATAAAGCCATTTTCAGCAAATTTGAAAACATATTCTTTATACACTACACAAATGTCATTACTGCGGACATACTGCTTGTTGAAAAAGCATGCAACAGGCCAAATCACAAGACCCTTGGTCTTTTGATGATTGAGAACTTGGTTCCGCATTTCAATACATTTGATCCTTGTTACTTTGAAAGTAAGGTCATTCATATTTACAAACTTGGTAGCCCTTCATCCCATCATGCTACAGGCCCAATATCAGCACCTTGGACCGTTTGGTTATTGAAAAGAAGTTATTTAAAGATTCAAACATATTTGACCCCTGTGACCTTAAAAGCAGGATTTTGATTCCTCAAAAACAATATCTCAAAAAGAAGGTCACAATGACCTACTTATGAAACATGGCAAATCATCTGACCACGGTGAAGCAATATCCAAATTATTAAGTTCCAGTGATAAATAGCGCAAAAGATGGAGCATGATTATTTTTTTTTATATACAAGTCAAATGTCAAGATGTATGTCAAAAAGACCTTCTTTCGAAACACACCATCTGACCATGGTGAAACCATATCCCAAGCATGAAGTTCCCGTGATTAGCTGTGTAGAAAACAGGGCCTGAACAAGATAGCAGAAGGAGGATGAACACAATGCAAAACTACCCATCTTTTTCCAGGTGAGGTACTTTTAAAGCCAAGATTTACCTGACAAGGAGTAATGGCACTCCACTGGTCTGTGATGACAGAGCTGACCCCAGTCAGTGCAGCTTCTATACTTGTAACATTGTACTCTTCTACTTTGTTTAGTGCTGTCTTTATTGACTCAAAGTCTCGTGTAAAACTCACAAGCTGTTCCCAAAGGTATGAGAAGACCACCTGAATAACAAAGCATATATTAACTAGGGTATGAATGACAAAAAAAATATCTGTGTGACATCAAGATTATTATTTTTACTATACAGCCATTTATGATGTATGATACAAGTAATATAACACTGCCCATGCATCCTTTATACCTGAAGATTCTTATCCTAATTATCTCCTTTCATGGTTCTTGTCGAGCATATTTAGACAGAATTTCAGGACTTTTCAATGACTACCAGGTATGTCATTTGATGCTACTTTTGTTTCTAATAGATCAATTTCCATGGTAATAGCAATGCTACATCTATATTCAACTGAATTAATTAGAAGTAAAAATGCAAGACATTACTTTCCAGAAAAGACTTTACATTATTCCAAACTTTTGTGGGTCCAATTTAATAAGTCTGTATTTACTTACCTAAAGAAAGACAGCTCATGGATTTATTATGAATATGTTATCACTCACAATTGGGTCAGATGGAGTGTTATTAAGTCACTGTTAAAAAATATCTGAATGTTTCAGATGTTCCATACACCAATAACAAATTATAATAGCATAATGTTTCAATCACAAATTTGGTATTTCATAATTAGGAACTGTGGGAGAAAATAAACAATTACCCCTGTGTGTTGAAGACAGTGAAGTATTAACCCTAAGATTAGGACAAGTTCTCACTTGGATAAATATCTGGTAAAGACAGTGTCTAAAGTATCTGATGTGACCTATCAGGTTTCAAGTTATATGAAAGAATTAAATTTTGGTAAAGCTAAGCTATCTTTTTAAAACTCATGACATCTGCAAGTTTTTAGAAAATGTGAAACATGATCTGTCTAAACTCTGCATTATTCATATGTATATATGAGTGAGAGTTTGTGAATTGATTTTTTCTGAGCTTATGCAACAACTTTCTGGAAACATTAAATGAGACTCTCCTATTGATAATAGATGGCTGTGACAGCATTTACAAAGTTATGAAAGGAAGGCATGAAAGTACAAAGACATGTGCTGACACTGCACCATAACTCTTTATACATCTGTATGTCTTTGGTGCATTAGTTGCAGTCTCTGTAGCGAGCTGCATGGATGATTTGCAACCAAACAAATACATAAATGTATTGAAATGGGTTCATATTATGAAATTTATTCAATAAAGTGATCAGTGAAACACCAGTATTTTTCTGATAGATGTCCACAAATACCTCAAATTTGCTCACCTGAAATGACAGACATGTGTATCGGAAATGTATCTTCTCTTCTGTTTCATGTGAAATCACTAGATCACAGAGGCATTTAATTGAATTAGCCTAACATTGGCCCAGAAGTGCACACATTATATATAAAATCATCACTTGGAATGGGAATGACTTTTTTTCATACCACAAACCTTTTAAATAAATTTCTCCTGAACAAGTCTACAACCCAATAGTTAATTCTAATCAGAAATTGGTCACCAAAAGTGATCATTTTGAAATCATCCTTTTTTCATCATAAGATGTTCATGTTTAATGGCAATGAAAAATGCAAGGAGGCATGGCCTATTATAAAGTCAATTTTTATTCATTTGATATACAAAACCAAATATTGGCCTTCAGAGATGGATTGCTTGGCTCTTTCATGGTATCTGGGACGTGTGTGAATACTCATAATATTTAATGATAAATGGATTTGATCAATTTTTGTTTCTACTGTAAAGTGTTATGTAACAGTAACCAAAAGTTCTGCATCACATAGGTCAATAGTTCACATAATAGGCCTACAGTTTAACAAAATAGTAACATCAAAATATACAGCAGACTGGAGCCAATGTTTAGATGATATACAAACCAAGGAAGTTAACTCTAGTCTGCAGTTTGACGACATAAAATCTAGTAGGGTATTGATCCCATGAATGGCCAGATTTCGGCGTTGGTATTCTTCAGGACATTCCGTACCGGCCACAGGCCTACTCATGGAGAGAGACACATCCAGAGCTATCACAGTTGGCATTGCTACAATGTAATACTCAATAATAGACAATGGGTAAATGAATCTATGGACAACCGATAAATGAAATTATCAGACAAAAGTGTTATCGTTTTAAAACATAATTTCATCTGCTTTCTCCAACCCCCCTCCCCTCACCAATTTTGTGATATTTTTGTTATGTGTTTTTTTAATATAGTACACATTTCTCAATGGTCTCTCAGAATTTTGCGCAAATAAAAGTGAACTACTTGATTCAGTTTACAAACCATTTTACCACAAACGAAAACTTTATTCCCATTTCAATTAAACTTGAAGATACTGTACATGGATGTTAAATGTCACCTTGTTTTGGTTATTTATGAAGAAATCCTGTCGGAGTTTAGACTTCGGGTAATATACCTTGTGAAGATTGCTTGGCTTATATTTTGGAAATGGCTGTGGCAAATCAGAATGGTGTGAATTTACAGTACAGAACCCTATTTTAATTTTACAAATATGATCAAAAACGTGATTAGGAAACTTTCAGAAGAAGAAATTTTGTCATATTGATCAAGGTCTATCGTCTTGTCATGATCAACGACCACAAGTTCGGCAGCTCAAGATCTTTTACTCAAGATTCCCGGCTTCTCTTGCCGATTGTACGCCATCTTTGGGGTCAAAAGTTCAAATATAGGTAATGCCATTCAAAATAAAACAAGTTAACACTGTTACAATGTAAAGTTAACGTTTTTGTAATCAGAAGATGAAATAAATAAAATGGATTACAGAAATTCATGATAATCAATAATGGACTTTTTAGTCACCAAATTTTTGCAGAACTATTTTATTTTTTATTGAAAACCGGAAGACAAAATTCATCCGCTTAGACAGTGCCCTCTGGGCATGCGTACATCATTATTAGCATCAGCAGCAACCATGGCATCGTCTGACGAACTGTCACCGACAATGTGCAATCACAAATACTAATTTATCGAGTGACGACAGCGCTGGTTTCTGGTATCAGACGTTAGTTAGGTAAGTTATTTATATATTTCATACAAAATATTCCTGTTAATCTGGTGATAACACAAGAGTAACACATGTTGCTATACTAAACATTGTCAATGATATGATCCGGCCTAGATTTACGATGTAACAGTGAATGTAAATTATTAAAATCGTGCTTACATGACGTTATATTTAACCTGTTTCATGAATTATACAGAGCATCGTGTAATGGTGATACAGCTACATTTCAATATTTATAAATATGAAGTTGAATTACGGCCCTGTGCAGGAGCAATACGCGATGAAAATAATTTATCGGCGTTCAACATTACAATAGTTGATACATTTGACGAATTAATTTTTACAGTACCGATGGAACCCCTTCTATTATCTTCCTGCAAATAATGTGTGGACAAATTAACAGTTTCTCAGGAAAGTTTTTGTCTTATAGATTTGAATCTATCCATGGCGAGTGATTTTCTTTCAATAAAATGAGTTTGAGTTAGCCAAGGTAAATAAATGAATAACTGGAGTTTTTATTTTAGTCACACCTTGCCTGCATTCATATAAATTTACGATTTTGTTAGAACGTCCTATAATTTAATGTTAGTAGAATTGATTTTTGCTACAGTATCAAGGTGTTACGGTAGCAGATGTTATATTTAATGGCACATGGTTTTGTACATCAAAGATTTAATATCCAATTGATTATGCCTATTTGTAGGTATATATCATTTAAATTTATAACAAAAAAAAAAAAAAAAAAACAAAAAAAAATTTCAATAACTCCAACCCAAAGAAGAGTATTTATTCAAAATAGAATACAAAAAAAATTAACCTGTAACCCTGTGTTTGAACTGGATACAAGATTGCACATGACTTTTTGTGCAGTGTGTTGACATTTTGTGTTTATACGGTCATTCTAAATTGATCCACAGGTGCAAAAACAACAAATTGACAGCAACACAGTGAAAACAAAATGAATTGTTTGTAGTTATCACAATCAATGTCATTGGTTAAGTTCAAAATTGTACGAAGAAAATTAGATCCAATGTCCGGCGGAAAATCTTCTACAAGTGTTTGTAGTGTTCCAGAGATGGATTCCTGCTGGAATACAGAATCCAGTTCCAAAACAATAATCTTGACCATTGACTTAAAATTTGTGAACTCTAAACCTAATAACAGCAGATGTATTTATAAGTGTGATAAAGTGTGATATTCTTAGATTCCTTGGTACAAATAGGACACAGTCATCATTTTTCTGACAGACTTTCAATCATTGTACAGTTTGAAATGTACCCATTGAACACATTTTGTGCACTAACCCCAGTCCACAAATTTGAAACCAGCCTGAAGAGTGCATTTGGTTGCCATTTCTTGCACATTATGTTTATGTAACAAGAGGGGAAAAATACACAGCCAGTCTGTGGTTTGAACCTGGGACCATCCAAACTTGACAGACACTTTAATAATTGACCCACCTGGTTGCTGACTTTTGACCCTATCCAGTTCTGCTATATTCTCACCTCTCTCTTTTGTAAGTCTTTGTTTCTGAACACATAACAACTTAAAACCAACAAAGAGTAGAAAAATACATGGCCAGACAGGGATTAGAACCTGGAATCCTCTAAACTTAGACAAATGCGTTACTAATTGAATTATTCGGTCATGATTGCTGATGATTGACCAACATGTAGTTCAGTTCTCCTTCACATAGTTTGTTTTCATCTTTATTGTCACTTATATTAGCATTCTTGTATTTCACAGCCAGTCTTTTATAAAGGTCCTTGCATTTTCTTTTTAGTTTTAATCTGGTCTTTTCCTCTTCTTTCTTCAATGGGACTGCAAAAGCTCAGTTGATTAGAGTGTTGGCCTATGTAATCTCAGGTAGAGATCTGAGCTGAATCGTCATGGTTGTGTCCTTGGGCAGGAGACTTTCCCCTGTTTGCTCTAGATTGTATGCAACAGCCCCCTGTATGTTGTTCAGTGGTGTAGCCACCAGCCACTATAAGGAGAGCATAGTCATTGCTTTGTCTGTCCATCTGTCCTTTCATGTCCAAAGCATAACTTTGCCCCTAGTAAAGCAGGAACCCTGAATCTAGGTGTATACATTGGTCATACTAAGGGTTTTGCATTGTGCTAAATCCAAGAAAGTGACCCCTCAGTTACAGAGTTATTGCCCTTTGTTAAAATTTGGTGTCCGGAACATAACATAACACAGTTAAGCAAGGATCATGAAACTAGGTGAATACATTGGTCATACAAAGGCAATGCCTTTGTATTTGAACTAGAATAATACACATTGATGTATACATTGATCATACTTAGAAGGTATGTAGTGTACCTAATTCAGAGCTCACAGAATTATTGCTCTTTGTTAAAATTTCATGTCCAGAGCACAACTTAAAAGTTGCTTGCATTTAATTACTGGTATGATAATGTAACTTGACAGGTGGAAGAGTGTTACCCTGGCAAGTGCACAATGTTTTTACACTCCTAATGTTTTTTAATGGTACTGTGAACCTAGTTGTATATCTTGACATACTTGGACTGATCAAGAAACAAAATGGACAACAGGCAGCCGTCATGGGATTTGTTATTACTGTTTCTGAAAGTAACACACTTGTATAAAGTTCTAAACATAATTGGCAATTTAGCAAATCTATCAATGAATAATACTTTCAGCACTTCATTGTCCAAACACTAAATCTGTCAAAGTGCCGATAACAGTCCATTAGTAAACAAGCTCAAGATTAGTTTTTCTATGAAATGTGGGGATCAGATTTCGTCAAAAAGTATGTACTGGTTTGACGGTTTCAGTTTTATTGTTTCTGAAGATGCAACTTTTAATTGGAAAATTAAACTGGTAATTTATCACCAGAGACCAAGTGTTGTGTGTACGGTATGCTGTAGTTAGTCATGTGGTGTTATGCACCGATGACTTTCTTCTCTGTGTATATATTGACCAATTTCGTCAGAGGATGTGCCAATGTTTTGACAAAAATTTATTTCGAAACAAAGAATGACTTTTCGCTTGCTATACAATTAAAGGGACTGAAAAATTGCTTTGACTTAACCAAAATTGCAACTCATCGATATTCGAGTTATCAGAACTAAAATTACAAAGATGAAGAGAGAAAAAATAAGGACTTAAAAATTATTTTTACTCAAACGGAATTTCAACTCAAGCGATTTTGAGACAAGTTTCAACTGTATATACATACATTTAGGGGTAGCTTAACTATATGAGTATGGGAGTATTTTCTTTTGTTTAAGAATGGTATGAACTTTTAAATCTCGGGGGAAAAATTCATGAATGTTTCTTTTTTTTTTGCAAAGATTGTAGAAAAATGTCAAAAAAATTAAATATGTTAACATGATTTGTAGGGCTGATTTATTAGCTAAACTTTTTTTTGTCTGAAAATTGCTACTGGTCATGAATGATTAAGCCAACTTTGACCCAGATATCATGGTCAAAAGATGTGCAGAGATATTTTTGATCAAATTTGATAGAAAAATTTACCATATCAATGCCTTGGATGAGTTTCCAAAGTTTCAAGATCAAGGTCATTGTTACTATGTAAAGAAATCATCAATCAGTTAAGTGAAATTAAACTTTATTTCTAATGGGATTTTAGATTAAACTTTACTGTTACAATACCTTATATGACTTCAATCTTGTTTCTGTGTTTATCTGTTTCTCAATAGTTAACTTTATGATTTAGACTTTATTCCAAAGCTCAGCCATAATCATTATCAAAACTTGTTTGTGAAGGATATTGAATCAGGCTCTGTCTATCTAAAGGGCTTTTCTAGGCTACAACTTATAGTGCCCCTGTATACCATTGTGCCTTTAGCTATTGGTGACATTCAATTCTGATATTTTCTGTTACCATGGAAACCAATGGTCAGAAAGTTAATCTTTACTGTATTGAATTTATTTTACTTGCCCCAACTTCCAAATCGTTGAACTGATCTAGAAAAAACTTTGTGTAATCTGGGTTTTCCATAAGAGCCGGTTGCCGACCAATTTGACTGACTACTTTGATCATTTGGCCGTCTACACCAATCCAGTTCCGTACTAATGTTCCGTAAACGACTACACATACACGGCAGGCCAGCCTCCTACTTTCACTACACAGCCTGCTACCAACAAAATTATTGAAAACCCTGGTAATATCAGACTAGTGTCCTACTTGTATCCTCTACTATTGGCACGATTCAGTATAGATTTTTTCTCTGTAACTATGGAAACAACATAGATATTTGAAAAATAGTATGAAAGGAATGGGTTGGTGTAGCTCTTAAAGTATTAAATATGGTCAAATGGAGTTTACTTCTCAGGATCAGTTGGTAGAGGACCTTCATGCCAGAGACCTATGTTCAATTTCTGTCAGGTTGTCAGCAGGAATGTGTTTTTCCTTGTTCTGTTACACAAGTTTATGACAAAAAGCATGTTAACAGAGGTAGTTTCAAAATTTTTCATCTGAAAATTGTTTTGGCTGTCATGTTTTGGAATTTGGTTGCTTTGGTGATTTTAGAAATAGTCTGAAAGTTGAGCCCTGCATTTACCATATTCTATTGACATGAAGTCTATCCGTCGTCTTGAATCAGTCAATTGTTGATTGTTGACCAGTAATGAATAATAACAAGTGTACTTTGTTGGCCATTGTTAATTCTTCCATAGAGATCAATGATTTAAGTATTGGTCTTTAGATTAGGTAAATCAAATCTGATTAATAGGTCATGACCTATTGCTTCTTTCATTGCTCTTTGATCATGAGTACAAGAAGGTTTTCCTCCAATGTTGAAAATTAATACAGTGTTCAGATTATTAGAATTACTCTAACATTCATGATTAGTCATCACTTCTTCTCAAGTGACCGCTGATTGATCAGGCCAGACATGACAATGTATGTTTCCTGTAACATATTAGACAAATTAAGGGTGCCAGTAGGTAGGGTGATCAAATTTAATGTTTAGATACATTAATTTTGTATGCTTTATATAGGAAAGAGATCTTGACT